ATCCGAGAAGCTAGACTACTGTATAAAGAAGAATGGGGCACCGGGATTGGAGGAAGACTCATTAACAACCTGTGTTATGCAGATGACACAATCTTGCTTGCTAAAAGTGAAGGGGACTTGAAGAACTTACTGATGAAGATCAAAGACTACAGTCTGCAGTATGGATTTCACCTCAACATAAAGAAAACAAAAATCCTCACAACTGGACCAATAAGCAACACATGATAAATGGAGAAAAGTTTGAAGTTGTCAAGGATTTCGTTTTACTTGGATCCACAAGCAACACCCATGGAAGCAGCAGCCAAGAAATCAAATGAAGCATTGTATCGAGCAAATCTGCTGCAAGAGACCTCTTTAAAGTGTTAAAAAGCAAAGATGTCGCCTTGAAGGCTAAGGTGCACCTGACCCAAGCTACGGTGTTCTCAATCACCTTATATGCATTTGAAAGTTGGGCAGTGAATAAGGAAGATTGAAGAAGAATTGACTCCTTTGAATTATGGTGTTGACGAAGAATATTGAATATACCATGGACTGCCAAAAGAACAAACAAATCTGTCTTGGAACAAGTACAACCAGAATGCTCCTTAGAAACAAGGATGGCGAGACTTTGTCTCATATACTTTGGACATATTGTCAGGAGGGATCAGTCCCTGGAGAAGGACATCATGCTTGGTAAAGTAGAGGGTCAGCAAGAAAGAGGAAGATCCTCAGTGAGATAGATTGACACAGTGGCTGCAATGATGGGCTCAAGTATAATCACAATAGTGAGGATGGCACAGGACCAGACAGTGTTTCGTTCTGTTGTACATAGGGTTTGCTATGAGTAGGAACCTACTAGATGGCACTTCACAACAACATGATGTTAATGAGGCAGGAGTAGAGGCAGTTATATTAATGAGGCAGGACTCAGTCTACAGGATTAGGCTGTATTTTGAATCAATCTCTTTTGAGATATAAAAGAGAGGAGCAGAGAGATGAGGGACCTCATACCACTAAGAAAGAAGTGCCGGAAGCAGAGCGCATCATCTGGATCCAGGATTCCTGAGCTGAGAAGCTCCTAGATCAGGGGAAGATTAATGACAAGGACCTCCCCCAAGCGCGGACAGAGTGAGAAAGGCTTCCCCTTGAGCTGGCACCCTGAATTCGGACTTTTAGCCTCCTAGACTGTGAGAGAATAAATTTCCGTTTGTTAAAGCCATCTGCTTGTGGTATTTCTGTTACAGCAGCACTAGATAGCTAAGACACCTAGTAAGAAGGCTCTGGAGCTTCTCCAAGAGTTTGGACCTAAGACTGATGACAGTGTTTCCTTCCTCTCTGGTGCCATCTGGGTCCAATGTGGAAAGCATGGAGGAAGGGACAGCCAGGAATGCAGAGGAATGTGGCAATGGGTCAGGTACGCATCCCCTGTTCTGTGTACATCGGCTCCCTCAACCTTGACAGGTATTTTCCGCTCAAAACTCCAAGTCCTTATTTAGAACATTTGAAGAGATGAGGTGCTTGCATTATAGTTTTTTTTTTGTTTTTTTTAATTCATTCAACAAATATTCAGAGAACCTACTGTGTACCAAGCACTGGGCTAAACAGAAAGATGAGCATGACCCATCATTCTCTTCAAAGAACTGATAACCTAGGGCTTCTTGTCTGCAGAGGCAAGTGACCTTCGATAGTACAAAAACCTGCTTGTGCCCCCTGTACCTGTGTTTTTGATCCCTCACTGTGTGCTAGAAACTGTTGGGACAGAAATTAGTGCTTATAGATGTTAGTGAGTAAGCTGGAAGTTTCTATTACCAATATACTTCATATTTACACTCTATGTGCTCTATTTCAGCGTTGTATCACAAATACCAGGTCATACAAAAATAATTGTTATTAACTTCACAAAAGTCATCTTTTCCAGCCAGATGTAGACATTTTGAAAAGATATAGGATATTTTAAGGAGACTTGGTGGTGCAGTGGTTAAGCACTCAGCTACTAACAGAAAAGTCGGCAAAAGCTGCTCCGAGGGAGAAAGATGTGGCAGTCTGCTTCTGTAAAGATTACAGCCTTGAAAACCCTATGGGGCAAGTCTACTCTGTTCTATAGGGTCATTATGAATCGGAATTGACTCTATGGCAACCGGTTTTTTTTTTAGTTTTTTATAGGATATTTTAAAAAATTTCGCAAATAACCCCAGATGATTAATAACATGATTTGAAAATGTAGAAAAGAACACTGATTTAATTGTTTTTTATCTCAATATCTTACTCAGAAGAAACAACTAATCAAATTAGACTATCGGGGCTTAGTAGCCTGATACTGTCTTCATGCAAATTAACAGTAAGCATTTAAAAACAACAGAGGAAATCTGATTTTTTTTTTTAACTTGAGTGATTAGAATCCTGATTCAAAACGGTATTTAGCACTAGAATGTAATATACTACCTACTTCTTACTCTATTATCTATCATTATCTTTTAAACCCTATAATTGGACAAACAGGAAACTATTTATAATAATAAGCTTGCTCAAAATCATCTGTTTGCTGGAGGCTGGGGTGCACATTATAGTCATATTGAAGTGAAGGCAAAACTGCTTACTTTATTCTTTCCATTGTTTGTTCATCTCTGTTACAATTTACAGCAACACTACACACCTGGCAGTCCAAAGCATCTTACCAAAATTACCGAAGAAAAAACCCCAGTCATTTAGACTGCATTCCATGAGTGGGCAGCATCAATCTTATTTGCTGCAAGACAGGGCCACCATTGAGCCTACCCTATTCCCTGCCTGCTGTGCAGGCACATAACTATGCTTAACACAGAACTCTCTGGCGAACAATTTTCCTTCTGTAATTTCCATTAGAGCCACCACTTAGTTGGTTTATTTATCTTATTGCTGGTTTTACTTTTCAGTGATTTTTTTGGTACTCATGTTCTGTATATCACAGCTATCTAAACACGAGGCTGCACAGGGCTCCTGTACATATACGGCTCCTTCTAACAGATTTAAATTGAAAAGCAACGCAAACCATTATCAGTCTATTTTCAGTTTTCATTATCAATAAAACAAGAGATCAGCATTTTCATGCTGTGTGAAGCCTTCAGGGAAGTGTGATGTTGCTGTTATTATCTTTCAACCAGGCGGCTGCCTGCCCCACTAATGCAGATGGAATGATGAGACCGTCAAAATAAAAATAAAATAATGAAACTATCAGAATCATAGAGCGGGCTGCTGACCTGGCCCACGGCATGGCTCCCTGAGAATGTCCGTTTGAATATAGTGGAGCCTGGATGGTAAAAGCCCACAGATGATGACAGGACATAAATTCTCCTCATAATGAGATTAGTGGGCAGGCAAAATAAATGTCCTGCTGTTACATTTGAGGCAGGCTCTAATCTGGCGTTCTGCTTGGAAATGATCATTTCCTTTGCAGCAGGGGCACCACGTATGCAACTAGCTTAAATCCGACAGGTTCTGTTTGGCCGTGCAGTAGTTTTTCATCTTCTTCTGTCTTTTTAATAGCAACTCAGAGGAGGCGTATAAATGAATGGTGGGTCTTAAAGACTATTGCCAAAGTGAGCTATAGGAGTCTATGTTTATGATCATCAATCACGTTCCCCAGACTCCCCTCTTAGGAAAAGTTCTGTGTACCTCCCTTTCTAAACAGGAACCCTGCTGCGGAGGAGGTGTTGTGACCCCCAGGGTCCTCTCACTCTAGCCTTAAGGATCAAAGGCAGAATAGACTCGCTATTGTATTTGGGGGTATTTTTTAAAAAATCTTTACCGCAACTCTACTACTTAAAACCACGGGAAACAAGTATCACATACTAAAGAGCCTTAAAAAAATGCCCAGATCAGGTGAAACCACATGGTCTGTGCGTAGAACAAAGACCTCGAGTATGTAGTTTGATTGCAAGGGACTTCCTTGGCTTTCAACGGAAGGCAATTTCGCCTTGGAGTACAATACCCTCCTCTCATTAGAAATGCAAGATAGGATCTCCTCCTGGATCCTTTCTACAGAAGCTGATGCAAGTTCACGGGCTGCACCATCCTTAGCGGCTAGTGGCATTTCATCAAAGCCTCCTGTGAAATAATCTCACAGTTTCCCGAGCCCTGCAAAGTCACCAAACAAGCTAAGAGGTCCTTTCAAAAGGAGCGGGAGCTCCGACTCTGAATTTAGGAGAATTTGATGATGCTGTATAGAAGGCACAGGCAATTTAATGTAAACCTATTTTCTCTACACTTTCTAGGGCCCGTGTTAAAGGCTCCTTACTTCTCGGAGAAATTGGAGATCGGGAGCAGATTATTTGCTAGTACCCTAATTCATGGCATTTTGACACATTGTTTTTCTTAGGCTGAAAAGAAACCGTAGAAGTCCCTTAAGTTCCCATGTGCATCGTCCAGTTTGCAAAGTGGTTCACAAACATTATTTCATCTAACGACACATCTCCTTTTCCGCAGCTGGCGCTTCCATCCAAAAAGTTGAACTACAAATCCAGCTACTTTAGGGGAGAAATTATTCTTTTGGCCCGATGTAACAAGTTTTTTCTTTCAAATTTCCACTTCTTATTGCGAGTTGTGTTTCTAGTTGTGTATTTTCTACGTGTCTAATTTGCAAACCTCACGGAATGTACGGTCAGCAATTCTCCTCCCAGGCCCAAGATTTTCTCTGCCCTCTGTTAACTACCTCATCATCAGATGAAATAGTTCAAGGGGAGAAAGACTCTTTTCCTTTTAGTCGGTAGTCTTGTGTTCATTGTACTCTCTTCCAACTTGTTTCATTTCCGTAACTCTTTCTTCCTTGTCCCATCATATCTATCCACTCACCCCCCACTACACCTTCCTGTTTATAATTTAAATTGCAAGCAAGTAACCGAATCTACTTTGTCAAGGGTCCAGTATATTTGGAATGTGTTAATGTTTATCTAATGACCTTTCTATGTGTTAAACTTGCAGAGTTAATGTTAAAGTTTCGTGACGAATAATCTCCCGAAGGAACTTCCTGAATTATGTTTGCTTACCTCATATAAATGTACTTGTTCTTGGGTCACAGCAAAGATCAATAACACGTTATTTTGCACCAGCTTATCAATGAGTTGTCCAATTGTCGGATATTCCTAAAATTAACATATAGATTTTAAGTATCATTTTAACAAAAGGACGTAAAATGAAGGAGTAGTTATTTCAGAGATATCTTACTGAGTTTGGCATTTCAAAGCTCATATCTAAGTAAGCAAATACACTATCAGTGTCCTTCACTTAGTTGGTTTAATAATGAGTTGTTAAACTGTAAGTCCAATTAGATTTTCATTCCTAAGAGTCAGTTGCAGTTCATGTGGTATATTATGCTCTGCCACTTCTAAGCTGAGCATTTGAAATTTATTTAAAGACTTAAAATGCTTCATATTTTCAAGGGTACAGAAACATTTCTGCTCTTTCTAAGTGCCACTTGCCAGCAGGCTAAGAATGTTACGGCTGAGGGAGGGGCTGTTAGATCATGATGTATGTGGCTGAGGTGACTCTCATAGCTCTGAAACTCTTAGTGAAATTGGAATGAGGTGTGATGAGGGTTGAGGAAGGGACAGCCTGCTGAGGAATGACATACTGCAGTCCTACATCTACCTAATTTGAGACATTCCTTGTACCAGTTCTTGGGTTTGGTTTAATTGCCTTTTTGATGTCACAGATTTGTTTTATGGGGTCCTGTGATATTTTTACAGGACAATTGAAAACACATTACTTCTGTTTCATTGATACATTTATTCCAAGTGATATGAGCACTTTAAAAAAAATAAAAGAAGTCATTCCTATCAATTATCAAATTTGGAGTTAGCCTCTATTCTCTGAGGCTCGAAAACAGAGCATATTCGCCTGTTACATCCAAGTATGGATAGTGTACAAAGAGGAACTCAAATGAGGGAATTGCTTGCGAACAAACTAAGGATCTGTCAGTTATGTCTGAAGGCCACCGGAGTGCAGAAACACTAATAAATAGGCCCTCCTGCACACTTATGTGGTACAACCATATATTTTCAGCACTTCTGGAATGTTTCTGCCTGAAGTCTTCTTTGGGTACAAGATTCAAGTTGAGGAAAATGTGTAATTTTGCCTAAAATACTCAGGTAAATTACCCAACTGCAAATCTGGCTAATACATGCCTTCTATCACGTTTGGATTTTTATTAGTAGAGATACCATGTCATATCAATTTTCCTGAGCCTGACATTTTCCATCTCCCTTGATTTTCAACTGCCCAAACATTAAGCATCCTTCATCCTTAAGCATCAAGACTTTGGGACCCTAGATGATTACTATTCTGGTCTGCCTCCCCACCCCCCGCCCCCGCCATTTCTGGGGGCTGTGGTAGAGAACAGAATGAGCTGACTGTACTGCTGTCCACAGGCCCTAAGATCTTTGAAAATTTGGGGAGGTTCTAGGATCACATGTGCCACAGAAGATCCAAACTTCTCACACAGCGCCACCACTCTCCTGTCCTCCTGTGGGAACCTCTAATGGTGGCGAGGATGGAGAGGAGGTAATTCGTAAATCTCAAATCAGAAAATATGCACTCCTATTACCAAGCATGGAGCCCTGGTGGTATAGAGGTTAAGAACTTGGCTGCCAACCAAAAAGGTCAGCAGTTCGAATTCATCAGCTGCTCCTTGGAAACCCTATGGGGCAGTTCTACTCTGTCCTATAGGGTTGCTATGAGTTGGAATTGATTTATCGGCATCGGGTTTAGTTTTTTTTTTTTTAATCACCAAGCATGGGTTATTCTGCTTTGCATTACAGCAACTGTTGCTTCATTCGCTTACATATAGCCCTGACAACAGTACAGAGGGCAGGTTACACACCAAAACAGTTGACATGGAGTATTCATTCTTGCTGTCCAAGTGACAGAGTCCGTCGTTAGGAATCACGATGCCTGCCAGTTTGCTGTCCATCCCAAAATGAGAATCTGCATCACTCACAAAGACCAGGAGGTGAAGGGAGTCATTCCGCCAGCCAATTTTTTCCTATAGTGAGGAAAAAACATTTGGGTGGTATTGGACATAGGTAGGCATTTCCTGAGTGTGGATTAATTATGCTTGAACACATTCAGATTAGTAAAAAAATAGTGCTGGCGTACCTGTTTCAGCTTTTTTGCATCTATTGTGAATTGATAATATTAATATATTAAAACCATGAAATTCTGTGACATTTGCTTTTCCTGGGTAACATTTTCAGATGATTTATGTTTCCGAAAAAATAGTTCCACTACAATCAGTATTCAGTTGATCTTGACTTTTACATAGTTAATCATTTTTACTGTCCAGCTTTCAATTCACCAGAAAAATTGGGGGAGAGGTGGCGGGAGGTCATAGATAATCACAAATCCAAGCTAAAGCAAAACTAGTCAAAATGCAATACAAAATAGACTCATAATAAGCCTGTTTCATTAAAACGTCATGCGGTATTTGGGCACATATTTCTCTTTCTACTGATATTATCTAAAAAGCATAAACCTAAATATAAGGATAAGAATTTCTTATCAAAACATGGCCCCAAAGCACTATTAATTAAGATGGTCTGCTGTCTACCTCTTAGCAGAGCACTCACCTTTAATTATTAGTCCAGGAACTAGCCGAACAGAAACTCATCCTGGCGGCATCATCCCACCTTATCCCTTCTCTTCTTCCCCTAATTCCTCTGCCCTTACATCTTCTAGGAACTTCAGCCCTGTCCGTTTCCTGACATTTTCAATATAAAGGGACATTGTCAGAAGACAGGGGCATTATTTTCATGGATACGAGTCCGGTTGTCAAAAAGGAGTAGTATTCTTACTGTTGTTGAGATAGTGTAGCTTCTGAGGCTTATTTTGTTCGTTCAAAACAATAAACGTCTAACCATATGTAGAAGAATATACAGGACGTTTTTACTTTTTTCATTGATGTTCACTCGATTTTTTTTTTAATGGTTAATTCCAAATCGGAATTAATCTGATCCCGATCTTTGAAAATTAATCATACATGACTATTGTTTCAATAAATTTTTCCTAAAGCTACTGCAATTTTCTGAGATAATTCAAATTTTAGGCATAAAGAGCAGTCCTCACTTCAACATGATTGGATTAAGTTGCAAAATTTTGTGTTTTAAGAAGTGTCGTATGTAGAAATTTGGTTATTAAATAAAATATAAATTCAGCTCAGGTTTTTCGAAGTAGATTTATTAATAAGAGATGAATTTTATGTTAACAGAGTGAAACACTACTTCCCCAGCATACCTTACACACAGCAGCTTGCATGATTGCATCAAATCCACCTTCCGGTGTGTCAATATTAGCAGAAATTTTCTGATTCTTCACAATTTCATTGAATCTTTCAGCATCATTTGTCAGTGGCAAAATATGCTTGAATCCAAATGTAGGTAAGCAGAAGTATGGAATACTACTGCAAAAGAAATGTAAAAAAATTCTTGATAAAGTATGATACCGTACACAACGAACGGATCTGGTAGCCGAGTAACATTTCTTTAAATGAAGATTAATTTTTCTAAAGTGAGTGACTCTGTAATTTGGTTATGAATCTCACAGTGAAAGTTGCTGTCATCATCCCCCATCCCATCCTTTCCAAACTGGCCACATCAGCTAATATTTATTTAGAGCTTATTGTATGTCCTGCACTGATTCAAATCCAGATAATAAATAATCAAGTAATCAGACTCTTCACTGTGGAGTGTTTCTGTGTACGTGTGTGTGTGTGTGTGTGTGTGTGTAATCACTATTTTCTAATGCCTTCAAACAAAATCCACCCTTAGGTCTACATGATAACAATTCCTTTGTATTCCAATATCTTAAGCTATCATGAAGTACGTGTCACCTGTAACAAGACCTGGAGACAGACTTGTCTTCCTTCTCCTCTATTCTCGCCTGTATTCTCAGTCTTGCCTTTCAAGGATACCAAAATCAGGACAGCACTCTGCATTCTAGGGCCCAACTCTACTGTGGATTGAATAGACTGTTGTAGGCCAGCCTGGGAATAAAACCACCACTAAAAATATTTTACATGTAAGATGAGGTCTTCATCAAAAGGATTGCGTTAAAATAATAGAAATCTGATGGATGAATTCAGCCACATTTGATTCTGAAAGCAAGTTACAGACCTTGGACAAGTTATTTAACCCTTCTAATCTTTGAAGTTTTCATTTGTAAAATGGGAATAATAGTATGGAGCAGTGGTTCTCAAAGTGTGGTCCCTGGACAAGCAGCATGAGCATCACGTGGGAAGTTGTTAGAAATACAAGATCTGAGGCCTCACCCCAGACCTACTGAATCAGACCACTGGGAGTGGGGCCCAGCAATTTGTGCTGTAACAAGCCCTCCAGGTAATTTTGATGCAAGCTAAAGATTGAGAACCACCGAAGCAGAAGTAAAAAGAGATAAAAAGGAGTAGCCTCCAGTTGAGATGTTCTGCCTAGGAAGGGCCAGTTGACTCTCTGGAGAGCACAGGCAAGGCCTGAGCCTCAGTTTTGCAGATTCAACGGCCTATCTTGTTAGCAAATGAAAAGAAGGTGCATCTTTAGGGGTTGGGCTCATTTCTTCCTGTGAGTAGTCTTAAGAGGAAAACAAGTCATAATCCGATGTGTCCTCAGGCTGTAGAATAAGGGGAGCTTGGGGACCCCGGTGCTGATTGGCACAGCCCAAGGTGTCCCAAGACAGCCATCTCCAGAACAGATGCTCTTAGGCACACCTGCCCCCTCCCCCATGTTTGCTTTGTGTTACATATTTTACCAGGTTTTCCCCAGCGAATAAAATTTAGGAACCTCTGGCGGCCAACAGAACTGGAAATTCCGGAAGTGCCTTGACTAAGGCTCTTGGGCAGATGTGGCCCACACTTGCTTCTGTGCTATCCTAACCCACCAGGCCAGTTCATTCGTTCAGCTGTGTCAAGAGAGTCTGGGGGACCCAGGACCAAGTCTGTGTCTGTCACTTCCAGGTACTTTTTCAAATTTCCTTTCTGATTTTTCTGTTTAAATCTCAGAAGGCAATCTTATTCTCCTATTTTTAATATCTTACGTCAAGTTTCATTGAAACTCTGAAGTGTTGACCACAGATAGTATCTACTAAGCAGGGTTGTTATGAGGATTGAATGAGGTAAACTATGCAAAGCACACAGCACAAAGAGCTTTTCTAAGTAAGTCATTTCTTAACTAAGTCGCTTGGTACAGAGTCTAGCAGAGATCTGAGGACAGAAAATGGTTTTGGCTAATAGCTCTAGAATCATGTATTTTTCCGTGATTAAAATAATAATGCCTGTTCCCTGAAGAAAATCTAGATTTTGCATAAAAGTGTAAAGAAAAAAATAAATTTTAATGATTGTAAGATGTAGCATAGTTTATTTGATCACTCCTCTATTGCTGAAAATTTGTTTCTAATATCTTTATGTAATTAAGTAATGGAGTAATCCCTCTACATACATCTTTACAAACTATTCTATATCTTTTCTTAGATAAATTCTTGATGGAGAATTGCTGGGTTACCTTTTGATACATATTAACAAATATCTTTCCAAAAGTTTGCATTTACTGCCATTTCTGATATTACTGTGTAAGACTACATTATTGGAAAAAAAGAGAACTGTACCAGTCCATTAGTTAAGAATATCAACTTAATTTTAATTTGCATTTTATCACTACTAAGTTTGAGAAGTTGTCTCTACGCTTATTGGCATTTCGTATTTCTTCCTTTGTCAATTGCCAGCTTATATCCTTTGCTCATTTTCTTATTAGGGTATTTTTAATTTTCTAATTTAATTTTAAGAACTCTATGTCAAGAATATTCACTCTTTCTCTTTGCCATTTGTCTTTTAATTTTGTTTATGATGTTTTTGGATATATACCTTAACTTTTTTTTAATGTAGACAAATCTTTTCCCACGCTAAAATATTAGATGTATTTTAAAGTGTGAAATGAGGAAGATGTCTAATTTTTTTTTTCAAATAGTTAACCTATTAAATGAGTAATTTAGCATTCATTCTAATTGCCCCTACAGTGTTTAAAATAGCTGTGGGTAATAAAAAATGCACTAGATTTACAGTAAAAAGACTGAACAGTTATCTATCTTTGGGCAAGTTACCTAACCACTGAGCTTCAATGTACTCATCTGTAAAATGAGAGTTGTTATAATACCTACTTCATAGGTATACCAGTATCACTGGGACTTCAGTGTTCTTGGAAAATGTTTGCTTAATTTTCTTGGGGGAGGCTGTTGGTTCACAATATACCCAAAATGACATTTGAGCAATTTCTGCCTTCTGCATCCAAAAGGTAGAACTAGTAGTCCTATCTTGTTGTAATAAATTTTCATCTTTGTTTGATTAGAATTATTTGTTATGTAAATGTTACTAGAACTCTATGCTTTTGGAAAGTAGAATGAAACTTTAACTCACTAAACAGATTCATGTGATGGGAGCCCATGCAGCTAAAACCAAGCAGAATGTCAGAGCTGGGTCACTCCAGGTGTTTTTGAGTGGAGACTGCCCATGTTCTTGTCTGAATTCTTCCTCTGACAAAGGTCAGATTTGGTTGTTAATTTCTTAGCAGAATAATTGAAGGGAGTAGGTATTTATCACCAAATGACCTGATTCTGAGTCCCTAGACAACAATAATTTGCATTTAAAATGCAGGACAAATTATGAAGCACACTGTAGAGAAGTACTACTTATGGTTTTTGTTAAAATTCTAAATAAATATTCATTTAAAAAAATCTCTAAGGATATATACCAAAATGTTAACATTATCTTTTCTGAGTGGGATTAGAAATGATTTCCGTTTTCCTCTTTTTGTTGATCTGTATTTTCACACTGGCTTGTATTACCTTTGCAATAAGAAACTATATACAGTATACTCATATACGTTTATGTGTTCATGTAGTAAATCCATTTAAGCATTTCATAGTATAGTTTCCTCTTTTTGAAAAGCTACAGTGAATTTCTCACTGTTGGTGTCAAATTTAAAAAACAACACACAACATATATGGAATGATTTTTTTAAAAATCTCAAAATGTTTGATAGAGGTAGACAATTTAACCGTTGTGCTGTTGAATGTTTAAAAATGCACATTACAACTAATCTACAAATATTAAAATGGGTAACCATGATATTTGTTGCTGAATTTTAGGCAACAGTATAAGGGAACTTTTTTTCAGAAAAGTAAACCACTTTGGCATTCTTACAGGATGAAATCAATTTTCAGTGACTCTCCTTCCAGAGAAGATAAAGAGAGAAAACCACCGCAAAAAGCATTAGAGATTAGATTAAAATGGCAGGTTTTTAAAGTGTGGTCCACAGACTCTTGGGGGTCACTGAGACCCTTTCAGGGCATCTGCGAGGTCAAAACTATATTCATAATAATACTGAGATGTTGTTTGCTTTTCCACCGTGTTGGCATTTGCACTGATGATGCAAACGCAGTAATGGTGTTAAACTGCTGGTGCCTTAGCACAAATCAAGGAATAACACCAGACTGTAGTAGTTAGTCCTTGTATTCATTAGCATCAAGCACTCTAATAAAAATAAACACCTTGATAAAGCAGTAAAAGTTATGAAGTTATTAAGTCTGAACCCTTGAACACATTTTTTTTTTTAATATTCAGTGTGACAACATGGGAAATATGCAAAAAGTACAATGTTTATAGAGGAAAAACAGTTGTGCAGTTATTTGAGCAGAACTGGCTTTTTATCTATTTATTATTATATGTATGTAAATATATTTTTATGGAACTCAACTCCATTTTTACATGAAAGAACGATTGACAGCCAAACTATTATTCCAACCTGAGTATTTGGCAGACATGTTCTTAAAAATGAACAAAGTGAAACTGTCACTTCAAGGAAAACAACTGTCAGTATTTTCCACCATTGACAAAATTCAAGGTAACAACAGAAAATTAGAATTTGGGAAAACTTTTATCTGTCATTCATGAGATTAACAGCTTCCCTATACTTAAAGACTTTTCTCACAAGATTGTGATTTTTTTTTTGATACTGTATCATGAATTTGGAAGATCTGCATAACTCAGTGAACGAGTATTTTCCAAATGACTAATTCATTGTGTTATAAAGTCACACATGAGTAAGAGTCATTCAAGTAAAAGACCATTGGATTTTAGTGTAACAGAATATGAAAATCTCCTTGATATGGTTTCAGATTCCACCTTGTAACTAACCTTGTCTTGTTTTGGTGTAGTATCAAGGAAGAATGGCTGCAGTCATCTGAAAAAGCTATTAAATGTTCTTTCCTTTTCCAACTACATATCTACGTGAAGTTTGATTTTCTTTATAGAATTCAACCACAACAAAATATTGCAACAGATTAAATGCAGAAGAGATATGAGAATCCAATTGTCTTCCTTTAAACCAGAAGTTTAAGAGATATGGAAAAAATGTAAAA